GTGTGTGTGGTGTGTGTGTGTGTGTGGCTACTGTTCCTGCGTCTCGCATGTCTATAATCTCTAATGCTATATGCAGTAGATCGTTTAGTTTGCGAAGTTAATAATTCTCTTGTTATTCTAAGCTAAACTCTCTACTTCTTGCCAACACATTAGAGCCAGCAAGTTCAGTGGAACGCGTACAGGAACATTGCCGCGTGGAGTTCGCAGCACTCGAGTCGAACTCCAGGCGTCACAAATTAGCTTACGAGCGTAATTGTTCATAATTTTCTTGATGGGCTACGGAGAGGTGGACCGCTACCGTGTACCAGCACCTTCCCCGGCCGGCCTCTTGGAACTACGTCGTTGTTCACGGCAAAATCCAGAGGCAAATGAACCGAATGGGTAATTACGAAAATTGGAACTCCTTTCAGTCGCCGTAATCGAGCCAAAGAGATGCTGGTAGTGCGGCGCCGACGATCAACAAAGGTAGAAGATTTACGGCTCATCTCGGCACAGCCTCAGCATCACCTCCGTAAAGAAAACGAGACGAGCGCCAAAAGTGAAATGAAGGCATCCCGTCGACGGGGTATATACCCCTCTCCTGGGCCCCCTTCCCAACGTGGCATTTTGGGCTCGTATTCCGGCCCATCGTTCAGACGAGAAGAGGAGAGTGATCACCACCGGCCGACAGATGGTAGTTACAGGTGAGGCGATTTACCATCGTGCCGCTCGACATAATAACAATATTCTCTTTAATTTACACCCGCCCTCTTAGATGTTTCAGGCAGCTGGTGTTTAGTAGAGATTAGCTCGCCTGGCCACGCCTCAGGGCTCTGAATTTTGCTGCCTTTTTTTTTTATTTTTTTGGGGTCCGCTCGGGTTAATAATAAGATGGTATTTGTGTTGTAAATAAATCTAGACGACAATTTGGCCATTGTTCTCTCCCGTAGTTGTTATTTCTCTCTTACTTGAAGTATTGTTAATGCAAGGGGGTTGGGGCGTGGGGGGGGGGGTTGCGTTGTGGTGGGGTGCGTTGGGGGGGGGGGGTAGGGTGCGTTGCGGTGGGGGGGGGGTAGGATGCGTTGGGGTAGGGTGCGTTGTGGTGGGGGGGGGGGGTGCGTGGGGGGGGGGTGCGTTGCGGTGGGGAGGGGGGGGGTAGGGTGCGTTGGGGGGGTGCGTTGCGGTGGGGGGGGGGTAGGATGCGTTGGGGTAGGGTGCGTTGAGGGTGGGTTGCGTTGAGTTCGGGTACGGTGCGTTGTGCGTTAGGTGGGGTGCGTTGGGGCTAGGATTAGGATCAGGGGGGAGCTTCGGGTATTAAGAGTGGGGAGAAGGAGCAGAAATGGTAAGTAAAAGAAATGGGTGTACGGAGCCCCGAGATGCTTATCCTGAGGGAATGGTGCCCAAGTTGGGAGAGGAAAGGGGGGAGAAATAATATCCTTGGAGTGAAGGGAATAGCGCCCTTGGGTTGAAAAGGGGGAAGATAAAAAAAAAGTGTCCATTGAAATGGAGGTAATAGTGGAGACCTCCAATGTTGTTTTAGATTCAGCTGCTTGGAACACAAAGGTCCAAGTAGCACGGGCTATGGTGATCCCCGTATTCGACTTTGAGAGCAAGCGTAATAGCCATTACGGCTGTATAGCACTGGGAAGTGGGGTATGAGGATTTAGGATTAGGGCGGAGGAAAGGAATGGTACCCAACCACTTGGACAGTCGGGGATTGAACTCCGACTTGCAAGATCATTATGTTAAGTCATTGTTCGAGCAGATGGAAATTGTTCTGTCAAATGTCAACATTTGTTGACTCTTTTATGCGGCTTTTTTAATAGTTTCGACTTTTTTGGAATTCTTTGTATTGAGAAATGTAATATTGATTATTATATTTTAAACCATAGAGTAATAATGAAAGTTATATCAAGTAGTTTGGGTCATTTTCTAATATGTAGGCTAAAAATATTTTATATTTAATTTTTTCTACTTTTTTGCATATTGACCTTTATATACATAGCCCCTGGTCATTAGTGACCTTCATATGTATAGCCCCTGGTCATTAGTGACCTTTATATGTATAGCCCCTGGTCAGTAGTGGTGGTCATTAGTGACATTAGTGACCTTCATATGTATAGCCCCTGGTCAGTAGTGACCTTCATATGTATAGCCCCCCCTGGTCAGTAGTGACCTTCATATGTATAGCCCCTGGTCATTAGTGACCTTCATATGTATAGCCCCTGGTCATTAGTGACCTTCATATGTATAGCCCCTGGTCAGTAGTGACCTTCATATGTATAGCCCACCTTCATATGTATAGCCCCTGGTCAGTAGTGACCTTCATATGTATAGCCCCTGGTCAGTAGTGACCTTCATATGTATAGCCCCTGGTCATTAGTGACCTTCATATGTATAGCCCCTGGTCAGTAGTGACCTTCATATGTATAGCCCCTGGTCATTAGTGACCTTCATATGTATAGCCCCTGGTCAGTAGTGACCTTCATATGTATAGCCCCTGGTCATTAGTGACCTTCATATGTATAGCCCCTGGTCAGTAGTGACCTTCATATGTATAGCCCCTGGTCAGTAGTGACCTTCATATGTATAGCCCCTGGTCAGTAGTGACCTTCATATGTATAGCCCCTGGTCAGTAGTGACCTTCATATGTATAGCCCCTGGTCAGTAGTGACCTTCATATGTACAGCCCCTGGTCAGTAGTGACATTAAACACACACCCCTGGTCACTACTGGCTTTAAAGACAGCCCCCTTGTCACTGGTAACCTTATACATAGCCCTAGTCACTAGTGACCTATACTCAGCCCTGGTCAATAGTGACCTTATAAACAACCCTTGTCACTAGTGACCTATACACAACCCTGGTCACTAGTGACCTTATACACAACCCTTGTCACTAGTGACCTATACACAGCCCTGGTCACTAGTGACCTATACACAACCCTTGTCACTAGTGACCTATACACAGCCCTGGTCAATAGTGACCTATACACAGCCCTGGTCACTAGTGACCTATACACAGCCCTTGTCACTAGTGACCTATACACAACCCTTGTCACTAGTGACCTATACACAGCCCTGGTCAATAGTGACCTATACACAGCCGTGGTCACTAGTGACCTATACACAACCCTTGTCACTAGTGACCTATACACAACCCTTGTCACTAGTGACCTATACACAGCCCTGGTCAATAGTGACCTATACACAGCCCTGGTCACTAGTGACCTATACACAGCCCTTGTCACTAGTGACCTATACACAACCCTTGTCACTAGTGACCTATACACAGCCCTGGTCAATAGTGACCTATACACAGCCCTGGTCAATAGTGACCTATACACAACCCTTGTCACTAGTGACCTATACACAGCCCTGGTCAATAGAGACCTTCAACATTTATTGCACCATGTAACTTGATTTTAGTCTGGTTACAGAACGATAAGTATCAATAGATATCCCATTATTTTTTTCTTAATGACAGCTATGAATTCCCTGCCATTTTCAGTGAAAGAGCAGCATACAGTATATTATTTCAGCATTGAGCAATCTACACAGGGAAGGAGAAAGGCAGTTGTTCACACCCACACTATATAATAGATGAGAGCATCAGGTAATAGCGGCCAGCAACCATGAATGGTTTCCCTCTCTATTGCCACACTGAGGCGCAGGAAAAGGAAGCTGGCGGCTCTTGAGTCTCTCGTTGTTTTGATTAGCTTAGAACCCTGATCCATAAGAAATCTATTTTCACTCTTACCGCAGGCGCTATCTCAGAAAGCAAGGGGGAGAAAATTGTAAGGGTGATCCAGTTCTCTGAACGAGACTTGGCTGATTCCCTGTGGGTGGCAGCACCGCCTGGATGTGCAATATTGAAGTTAATATAGGTGTTAGGTTAGGTTGATATACACGCGTGTATATATTTATATATATATATTATTAAATATGACCGAAAAAGTAAGATTAATAATTCTAACACGAATTTTCTCAATCTTTCGTACATTTCTTTTCACTGTTGGAGGTAATTCAAAAATCAATTCTCCAAAATTCATTTTTATTTCTAGTCTGACGCGACATTTGAGCGCGTTTCGTAAAACTTATTACATTTTCAAAGACTTTAGTTAACACATACACAACTGAATAGAACTTACACATCTCCGATTTTGTTTATATCTACATTTGAGTGAGGTGGATGGGGTGAGGTGGTATTTAATAAGGTATTAATTTCATCAACACAAGCCAGAACATGAAACAATGGGTATTGAATAGAAGTGATTGTAGAAAGCCTATTGGTCCATATTTTTTGATGCTTCTATATTGGAGCGGAGTCTTGAGGTGGGTAGAATATAGTTGTGCATTAATTGGCTGTTGATTGCTGGTGTTGACTTCTTGATGTGTAATGCCTCGCAAACGTCAAGCCGCCTGCTATCGCTGTATCTATCGATGATTTCTGTACAGAAATCATGCATTCAATCATACAAATCATCGATAGATACAGCGATAGCAGGCGGCTTGACGTTTGCGAGGCATTACACATCAAGAAGTCAACACCAGCAATCAACAGCCAATTAATGCACAACTATATTCTACCCACCTCAAGACTCCGCTCCAATATAGAAGCATCAAGAAATATGGACCAATAGGCTTTCTACAATCACTTCTATGTGTTAACTAAAGTCTTTGAAAATGTAATAAGTTTTACGAAACGCGCTCAAGTGTCGCGTCAGACTAGAAATAAAAATGAATTTTGGAGAATTGATTTTTGAATTACCTCCAACAGTGAAAAGAAATGTACGAAAGATTGAGAAAATTCGTGTTAGAATTATTAATCTTACTTTTTCGGTCATATTTAATAATATATGTCTACAGGAAAGACTGCTACCAAAATATACATATATATATATATATATATATATATATATATATATATATATATATATATATATATATATATATATATATATAATATATAATATATATATATAATGTGTGTGTGTATATTTTATTTGTAGATACTTGTAAGCTATTTATTATTTAGTGAGGGAGGCGGTGGTGTTGCTGGCAGGTCGTAGCCATGCAGGCAGATCGTAGCCATGCAGGCAGATCGTAGCCATGCAGGCAGGTCGTAGCCATGCAGGCAGGTCGTAGCCATGCAGGCAGATCGTAGCCATGCAGGCAGATCGTAGCCATGCAGGCAGGTCGTAGCCATGCAGGCAGATCGTAGCCATGCAGGCAGGTCGTAGCCATGCTGGCAGGTCTTAGCCATGCATTCTGGTCGTAGCCATGCTGGCAGGTCGTAGCCATGCAGGCTGGTCGTAGCCATGCTGGCAGGTCTTAGCCATGCATTCTGGTCGTAGCCATGCGGGCAGGTCATAGCCATGCAGGCAGGTCGTAGCCATGCTGGCAGGTCGTAGCCATGCAGGCTGGTCGTAGCCATGCAGGCAGGTCGTAGCCATGCTGGCAGGTCGTAGCCATGCTGGCAGGTCTTAGCCATGCATTCTGGTCGTAGCCATGCTGGCAGGTCGTAGCCATGCAGGCTGGTCGTAGCCATGCAGGCTGGTCGTAGCCATGCGGGCAGGTCGTAGCCATGCAGGCAGGTCGTAGCCATGCGGGCAGGTCGTAGCCATGCTGGCAGGTCTTAGCCATGCATTCTGGTCGTAGCCATGCTGGCAGGTCGTAGCCATGCAGGCAGGTCGTAGCCATGCATTCTGGTCGTAGCCATGCAGGCAGGTCGTAGCCATGCGGGCAGGTCATAGCCATGCTGGCAGGTCGTAGCCATGCTGGCAGGTCTTAGCCATGCATTCTGGTCGTAGCCATGCTGGCAGTCGTAGCCATGCAGGCAGGTCGTAGCCATGCGGGCAGGTCGTAGCCATGCTGGCAGGTCGTAGCCATGCAGGCTGGTCGTAGCCATGCAGGCAGGTCGTAGCCATGCGGGCAGGTCATAGCCATGCAGGCAGGTCGTAGCCATGCGGGCTGGTCGTAGCCATGCAGGCAGGTCGTAGCCATGCAGGCTGGTCGTAGCCATGCAGGCTGGTCGTAACCATGCAGGCTGGTCGTAGCCATGCAGGCAGGTCGTAGCCATGCAGGCTGGTCGTAGCCATGCAGGCTGGTCGTAACCATGCAGGCTGGTCGTAGCCATGCAGGCAGGTCGTAGCCATGCGGGCTGGTCGTAGCCATGCAGGCAGGTCGTAGCCATGCAGGCTGGTCGTAACCATGCAGGCTGGTCGTAGCCATGCTGGCTTATACACCCGAGTCCCGGCTAATTAAAACTTTGTACCTTCTGCAGACTTAGAATTTGACGCCGTGCGAAATAAATTTGGAAGTTCAGAACTTTCCTGTAATTTATGAAATGTATTACTAAAGGTTCGCCCGAGGTTTCTCGCTGCTCCTCCCCACACGAATGAACCATTCCCTATTAGCTGTCTGGTTCGTAAATTGGAAGGTGTCTAAAGAACTGTAGATTTCAATGTAGAATATTTTTGGTTGATTTTTTTTATTTATTTGGCGTTGGCTTTAAGGCCTATCTACCTCAGAAGAGTTTTTTAAAGTGGCTTTAATGGCTTTCTGACCAAACGAACAAGTTTACACCAAGTCCTCAAACATAGTCCAGAAATAAGGTAAACTGTGTACATGCACTGAGAAATTGGGTTTACCTCTATATACCTGTGCTAATTGACTTTGTCTTAACGTATTTAAACGTCAGTATCAAGTTTTATTCTCTGCCTTGTCTAACTTCGGTTTATCTAAGTCTCTGTTTCTATGTCCGGTTGACCACCCCCTACGGGCTCACCATAGCCCGTGCTGCATGGAACTCTTTGTTCCATGTAGCAAATTTTAAACAACAACAACATATGTCCGGTTAGTTACTTGTCAATCTCCCGTCTGCGACGCCCGTCCGTTCCCTCTTGCTCCGTCCGGAGCTCCAAAATGAAGTTGACGGAAAGTATTGAGTTACGGTTTTATGAGGACGTCAGTGCTGATTGACAGCTGCTTTCAGCTTTCTTCTTTATTGCAGGCTAGGAGGTGGTTAACACAGAATTTTTTTCTTTTAATTTGAGGGTATTCTGTGGTTTTATCAGCCGTTCCCACACCTGCTGTGGTAGCTGCTTCCCCACACCTGCTGTGGTAGTTGCTTCCCCACACCTGCTGTGGTAGCTGCTTCCCCCACCTGCCGTGGTAGCTGCTTCTCCACACCTGCTGTGGTAGCTGCTTCCCCACACCTGCTTGCTGTTGTAGCTGCTTCCTCACACCTGCTTGCTGTTGTAGCTGCTTCCCCACACCTGCTGTGGTAGCTGCTTCCCCCACACCTGCTGTGGTAGCTGCTTCCCCACACCTGCTGTGGTAGCTGCTTCTCCACACCTGCTGTGGTAGCTGCTTCCCCACACCTGCTGTGGTAGCTACTTCTCCACACCTGCTGTGGTAGCTGCTTCCCCACACCTGCTGTGGTAGCTGCTTCCTCACACCTGCTGTGGTAGCTGCTTCCCCACACCTGCTGTGGTAGCTGCTTCCCCCACACCTGCTGTGGTAGCTGCTTCCCCCACCTGCCGTGGTAGCTGCTTCCCCACACCTGCTGTGGTAGCTGCTTCCCCACACCTGCTGTGGTAGCTGCTTCCTCACACCTGCTGTGGTAGCTGCTTCCCCACACCTGCTGTGGTAGCTGCTTCCCCCACCTGCCGTGGTAGCTGCTTCCCCACACCTGCTGTGGTAGCTGCTTCCCCCACACCTGCTGTGGTAGCTGCTTCCCCACACCTGCTGTGGTAGCTGCTTCCCCACACCTGCTGTGGTAGCTGCTTCCCCACACCTGCTGTGGTAGCTGCTTCCCCCACACCTGCTGTGGTAGCTGCTTCCCCACACCTGCTGTGGTAGCTGCTTCTCCACACCTGCTGTGGTAGCTGCTTCTCCACACCTGCTGTGGTAGCTACTTCTCCACACCTACTGTGGTAGCTGCTTCCCCACACCTGCTGTGGTAGCTACTTCCCCACACCTTCTGTGGTAGCTGCTTCCCCACACCTGCTGTGGTAGCTGCTTCCCCACACCTGCTGTGGTAGCTGCTTCCCCACACCTGCTGTGGTAGCTGCTTCCCCCACACCTGCTGTGGTAGCTGCTTCCCCACACCTGCTGTGGTAGCTGCTTCTCCACACCTGCTGTGGTAGCTGCTTCTCCACACCTGCTGTGGTAGCTACTTCTCCACACCTACTGTGGTATCTGCTTCCCCACACCTGCTGTGGTAGCTACTTCTCCACACCTACTGTGGTAGCTGCTTCCCCACACCTGCTGTGGTAGCTGCTTCCCCACACCTGCTGTGGTAGCTGCTTCCCCACACTTGCTTGCTGTTGTAGCTGCTTCCCCACACCTGCTTGCTGTTGTAGCTGCTTCCCCACACCTACTGTGCAAGCCGCCCTCACACCTGCAATGCTAGCCGCCCCCACACCTGCTGTGGTAGCCGCCCCCACACCTGCTGTGGTAGCCGCCCTCACACCTGCTGTGCTAGCCACCCCATACCTACTGTGCTAGCCGCCCCCCCACACCTGCTGTGCTAGCCGCCCCCACATCTGCTGTGCTAGCCACCCACACACCTGCTGTGGTAGCCACCTCCACACCTGCTGTGCTAGCCGCCCCCACACCTGCTGTACTAGCCGCCCCTCACACTTGCTGTACTAGCCGCCCCCCACACCTGCTGTACTAGCCGCCCCCACACCTGCTGTACTAGCCGCCCTCACACCTGTACTAGTCGCCCCCACACCTGCTGTGGTAGCCGCCCTCAACCTGCTGTGCTAGCCACCCCACCCTTGCTGCGCTAGCCACCTCCACACCTGCTGTGCTAGCCGCCTCCACACCTGCTGTGCTAGCCGCCTCCACACCTGTAACACTAACAGGAGTACAAACTCACCGGGTAATTGGTCTGTCAAAAGTTTTGTATAACTCGGAACAATTTTTATTCTCTCTCTAGCCGAGCTGCTTTTGTCATTGTCCCTTCCACACCCCTTCCCACTCCTTCCCACCCTTCCCACTCCCCTTCCCACACCCTTTCCCACCCTTTTCCACTCCCCTTCCCACACCTCTTACCTCTCCGCTAACATCTTTATTCTTCAACGTTACCTTTCAGTTCTTTATCTGTCTCCTTTCCTATCCACACTCTCTCTCTATCCCACTCGCCCTTCCTCCATCCCATCACCCTCCCTCTCTCTCTCCATCCCATCACCCCTCCCTCTCTCCCTCCATCCCATCACCCCTCCCTCTCTCTCTCCATCCCTGCAGTCTCCTCGCCTTTAATAATATCACAGGTTTAGCCAGGAAATGGAATAAAAGTAGTGGATACGTCCAATATTTCTCAAGTCATGATAGTCTCTTTCTCTCTCTCTCTCTCTCTCTCTCTCTCTCTCTCTCTCTCTCTCTCTCTCTCTCTCTCTCTCTCTCTCTACTATTTGAGTGTCCTTTCGTTTTTCAGTTTTCTCTTACCTTTTTCTTGTCACCCACTATTGCCTATTTATTTTCATCCATTTGTATGTGGTTCTCTTGCAGTGCGTGGTTCCCTCTCCTCTGTGGGAGGGACGGGTCTGCGGAATAGGAATATTTGGCCAGATAAAGAGGAAGGATTCCCAGATGATTGGACGGGTCGAGAGGTGATATATTGGGTCGTTGGAATGTATAGGTGTGTGTGTGTGTGTGGGTGGGTGGGTGGGTGGGTGGGTGTGTGTGGGTGTGTGTGTGTGTGTGTGTGTGTGTGTGTGTGTGTGTGTGTGTGTGTGTGTGTGTGGGTGTGAGTGTGTGTGTACTCACCTAGTTACTCACCTAGTTGTGTTTGCGGGGGTTGAGCTCTGGCTCTTTGGTCCCGCCTCTCAACCGTCAATCAACAGGTGTACAGATTCCTGAGCCTATCGGGCTCTGTCATATCTACACTTGAAACTGTGTATGGAGTCAGCCTCCACCACATCACCCCCTAATGCATTCCATTTGTCAACCACTCTGACACTAAAAAAGTTCTTTCTAATATCTCTGTGGCTCATTTGGGCACTCAGTTTCCACCTGTGTCCCCTTGTGCGTGTTCCCCTTGTGTTAAATAGACTGTCTTTATCTACCCTATCAATTCCCTTCAGAATCTTGAATGTGGTGATCATATCCCCCCCTAACTCTTCTGTCTTCCAGCGAAGTGAGGTTTAATTCCCGTAGTCTCTCCTCGTAGCTCATACCTCTCAGCTCGGGTACTAGTCTGGTGGCAAACCTTTGAACCTTTTCCAGTTTAGTCTTATCCTTGACTAGATTTGGACTCCATGCTGGGGCTGCATACTCCAGGATTGGCCTGACATATGTGGTATACAAAGTTCTGAATGATTCTTTACACAAGTTTCTGAATGCCGTTCGTATGTTGGCCAGCCTGGCATATGCCGCTGATGTTATCCGCTTGATATGTGCTGCAGGAGACAGGTCTGGCGTGATATCAACCCCCAAGTCTTTTTCCTTCTCTGACTCCTGAAGAATTTCCTCTCCCAGATGATACCTTGTATCTGGCCTCCTGCTCCCTACACCTATCTTCATTACATTACATTTGGTTGGGTTGAACTCTAACAACCATTTGTTCGACCATTCCTTCAGCTTGTCTAGGTCTTC